GGTTACAAGTGGCATTTATAAAAATTCCACTCTGCGAAAGGGCAATATATTTTCTTCTCAAATTCCCATGCAGCTTTCACCAAGATAAAACATACACTTGCTCATGAAGAAAGCTTAATACATTGAAAAATTGAAATATAAAGTGCTCCTTCTAGCCATAACACAAACAAACTTTAATCAGCATGGAAAGAAAACAGAAAATATATAAACACTGAAAATTAAAAAATAGTAAAAACACATACTTCTAAATACCAGTGGGTCAAAGGGAAAGTCTTGTGGAAGTTAGAAATGTTTTAAAGTGAACTGAATTGAAAATGGAACATATCAATATTTACAGAAGCAACTAAATCAGTATCTAATAGGAAATTTATTGCACTAATATGCTAAGGTGTCCTGGAAAAGAAGAAAAGTCTTAACTCAATAAAATTAACTTCTAAATTAAGAAACTTGGGAATGAGGAGAAAATAAATCTGAATGAGTGGAAGTTAGGAAATCAGGCCAGAAAGAATGATATTGAAAACAGAAAAATAATGCATGAAAAACAGTGAAAGCAAAATCTGGTGTATTGTTTTCCTTGAAAGATAAATGAAATTGGCAAGTCTTTTGGAAGACTAACAATAAAAGAATACAAGTTATTGACATAAGAAATGAAAGAGGAAAGTATCGTTATAGATTTCATACACATTAAGATAATGAAAGAATATTCCAAATAATTCTGAACACGTGGATTCAATCAGTCAATTGAGTCCTCAAAACATGCAATTGGGCAATCTTCAACCACAGTAAGTAGATAATCTTAATAGTTCTACAGTTATGAAGTTAATTCATAAACATTGAGCTCTCCCACAAAAAGAAATCTCAGGCCCAGCTGGTTTTGCCAATAAGTTGAAGAAAATATGTACAAAGAAACATCAGTTCTACACGATGTTTTTCAGAATATAGAAGAATATAAAAGCAGACACAGAAATCACACTGAGGATCGTGGACAACAGGACTACTGAGACTAAAATGATGTATACCATAGCCACTAGCATTACCTCTCAGTGGTGGGGTTAATCCTTATTTATTTTGAATTGTACAGTCCTTTTTTCTGTCCATCAAAGTTCAAAACTGTGACTCTAGAATTCCTTCCAGTTTTATCAAATTAATTATTATAAATAGTGCTACAACAAAACCTTCATTTCTGTAGGTGTGTGCTCCCACGTGAATTCATGATCATATTTGTTTACATTTATTTGTAGACGAAAACCTAGGACTTACAGGCCAAAGGGGAAAGTTTTAAAAATTAAATAAATGAGAATATGCAAATTGCCTTCCAATATATCGATTTATATCCCAACAAAAGTGAAAACAATTGCTTAATTTTTCAACAATCTTACCTGTATTGGCTATTATCAATCACCTAAATCTTTAGTGGTCAGAGCAATGATAATCTCGTTGTTTCAATTTGCGAATTTTTACTAGTAAAGGAGTTGAAAACACTATGTTACAAATTTTTATGTTCATAGACAAATTGCCTTGGCCAATGAAGAGGTGATCTTCCTCAATTTTTAAGTATTCAGTTTATTAGGACTACTAAACCTTTGTCATAGTCTTAATTTTAAGTTTATATAGTATGTATTAATTTTCTTTTAGTAAAAATTTTGAATATTACCTTCTAAAACTTATGAAATGCACATTGTTTTTATAGTAAGTTATCTGAAGTTTGACTGCTTTTTTCTCTCATTTTTTGGATCAATCATACTCAATTTTTTACTCAAATTTCAAAAATTTTATATTTTTCACAAGCAAATCACTTTCTCTGTAAGGCATTTCCAGTCTTTCTTTTTCACGGTGAATCATTACTTTTAAATACATCTTTTAAAAACATACATACTTCAGAGTACATTTCCTAGGTAATTTTGTACGCATTTGCCTTTTATGCTGTATTATGGCCTCGTGAGATGAAAACCCATGATTCATTCTTACCACCATAAGAAACAGATCATTTCAGATACTCAATAACAACTGTGGCTAGAGCAGCACGTGATTGGCATCTTATATAAATGTTGGATCATGGAAGAAGTTCAATTTATGGACTTGGATCAAAGCATGATAGAGGCTATGGTCTAAGTATGTCCCAAAGCAAACAAGAGTAAGATCCCTTGGTCTCTTGCTACTTAGAGCTGCAGACTCCTCATGAATACCTAGACTATATACCTGGTATCCTGAAATAAGGATTTACAAACCATCATTTTTCATAAGCACACTCAACTTCCTAGAGGAAAATCAAACTCATTTCAAAGGGGTTTGCCTCAAAGTTCAAGGAATGAACACAAGGAAAAGTAAAAAGTTACATGGCCCATAGCCATCCTTCCAAGAGAACATTTAAGAGTTATCACCGTTACCCACCTCTTGAAGATATGATGGGAGTGCTTGCACAGTTCATAAGTAACATAACATTTGACAGCAAATGATATATTAGGTAACAGAGTCAAGAAGCAACACCATTCTTGAAAATATAAATTAAAGTATGAATTTGGTGAGAAATCTCACTCATCTTCATCTGGTAACCCAAGGGAGTTCATCCTCAGTGACATTAAAATCATTCTAATTAAGAGGACACACACATTATCTGCAATTCTACTCGTTTCTTTTGTTAATGACCAGAGCAAAACATGGTGGGTTCATTTTATGACTAGTTATTGAGGGGAAGGTTGCAACTACAATCAGTAAAAATGGGATGAATTTATCAATTTCAAGACTCCTTTGCTTAATAACTTGACGTGTCTTTTCATGTCCACAGAGTCGTATTTCTAGCACAGTGAAAGAGTGGTTGGCGGACAGCCTGACTTATTAAAATATTATATTGAAAAGGAAAGTAATTTATGTGCAAGCTTTGGAAACTCCTTAGCAATTAGCCTACACACAGAAAAGGGACAATATTCTACCAAGTAAAAACAGATCAGTTGCAGTAGTTGTTTAGAAGGACTGGGAATCTAAGAGACTCATTTCTTCATTTATATACCAGAGACTTGTTATAAACATCTCCAGCAAATTCACCATTTTGTTAGTACAGTTGCTGAGGAAGTTACCGTAACCTAGTTTCATCTGTGTAGATATCGCATGTAGATATAGGTAGGCAGAGACAGAGACAGAGATACAGACACAGATCTAGACATTAGAATACTCTTAAGACAAGGGAAGACTCTGAGATTCGTTTAGAATTATAAATTAGGGGAAATGTTACCATTCTTTGGAGACAGAAACAGGGGAACCACAGATGGGCATGCTGTTTTATTCATTTAGGTTCATTCACAGTCTATTTTCATATTTCTTTCCATACAGTTGTTCTGGTTGCTTTTGTTTGTTTGTTTGTTTTGCTGGCAAAGCCCTATCTCATTTTCCCCAGAATTTTCAAAATCCCCATCTATGAAAAGCTACTACCTATATTGAAGCACTAGGCAGGAAAAAATAGTTTTCATGACCCCTTTAGAGGAAGGGAAACAAATTAATATTGTGCAATACATAATAAAACAGAAGATGCTTAGGTTGTTCAGAGGGATGGTTCCCAATTCAGACTGATACAAATAGTGATACAGAAACGATCCCAGGGGAAGATGGGACAGATAAAAATTGCAAAAAGAGGAGAAAAAAATGGAACTTGTATTTTCAAGGAGAACACTTCCAAAAATACAGAGAAAAATAAAATCATCAAGGCCCATTAAAAAGATACTTGCTTTAGTGTGCAAAATGCTAATAATAATAAAAATTATAAAATGAAAAAAAAAACCTTGTGATTCTCCGCTTTAAACGTCATAACTTTTAGCCTACTTCCAAGAATCCAAGAGTCAAAAAAGAAAAGCTCTGGAGAAAATGCAAAAGCATGGCTATGCCTAGGCAGGTGCTACCCATCAGAATTTGCACACTTTAATGTTATCTTTTACTCCAAGGCCTTGAATGACAGCCCCCTTGGGCTCATCTTCCCATTTCATTTCATTGGCTCAATGACGACTGAGAACAGCATCTGCATTGAAATGAAGCGGCCAATGATACCATGTACCCTTCCTTCGATTTAGTGGGGAGGCGTCAGTGCACTTGCAGGGTTAATAGTTTGCATTTTGGGTTGTTTCCTCTTCTCTTTCCCGACTTCGCCTTCCCCCAATATTAAGAAGAATATTGTACGTCAAAAGAGCACATGGTGAAAATTCCAGTATAATCTTATGTCAAACAACATCCTTAAACGTGCCACTCCCAGACATGCACACACCCCAGGACAACCCAATAAATCTTTTCACTCCATATTTTATAGAAAAATTTAAAAGGAAAAACAGTGGGATTTGCATGATAGACTAAGAAACAAAAAACCTTGAGAGCACTATAGACGGCACAAAGTCGGGAGATTTCATCGAAATATCTCAGAAAAATGTATTACTGTCATTAACATGTTACACGCCTTAGCTTGCGTGGGAGGGCTGTGACGTGTAAGGTCTTGTCATTGTATAAATGAGAAACTGAGGCCTTGGGCCTGAGTGACTCAGTGGTAAAGCCACGAAAATCCTGTTTTAAGTATTAGTTATCTTCTTTCTTCTCCTTCTTTCACCAGATACCTGAACAAGTGCATACAATGTACCTCCTCCTCCATCATTAAAGGACAGTTCATTGAGAAAGGGAGTTTGCCACAGTGGAAAGCTCTCTGGGTAGAATTAGACTTAAATCCAGATTCTTTCTTCCTCTCAGCCAACTGGTAAACCTTGGTGGTAACATCCTCTCTAAATTGGAATTGATGAAAGATGTAAAGATTATTGTCATTCTCTTCCCTCACACATCCCAGGGAACTGAGGCCAATCCAGAATCTATAAACTACTAATAATCATGTCTCAGTCAGCTGGATTCGTTGTCTTGGCAATGGTTTTGCCTGCTCAGATCCACCTGCCCTTTTGCATGCCTTTAAAATACTGGCTTAATAGAACTGTGGATAGCAAGGCTTACAGGTTAAAGAAGAAACCCTTGCCACTCACCCACATGGGGTCACTGAGGTCTGAGTCCTGCATGCGGATACAGTCCATGCTGATTTCAATCTTGTTAGTTGCACCATTTTCTGATGTCTCATCCACGAAGTTCAAGTCAATGGGCTGAACTGAACATATAGGCCTAATGTAAAGGAAAGGAAACGTGTTAGGCAAAGGAAAGAACCAAAATAAACCTCGCAATGTGTGCTTTCTGCTTCAAAGTTGGCAAAGCTTATCACTTAGAGTTAGAAACTGTGATTCTAGCTCTATCCCTTTCTGGAGGTATGATTTCAAGCAGCTCAAATCTAAATGTTTTTTGTAAAATGAGAATCATGAGTCATGACCCCTGTACTCCTCAAGGAAGTGCTGGATGGAATAAAGGACAGAACAAATGGGTTAGAAGTACAGTACTCTGTACCATATCCTATAAAGTCCCGACTGATCTAATATGCTTTTTTTAAGGATGTTCCACATTCTGTATTTATTGCAGGTTTGAGAAAGAAACCTGACATCGAATACATTATTCCGTCACAAATTGTGTCATTTTTACCAGAGTTATTTAAGGTACATTTTACTCAATTTCAAGATCGCTTTTTCCTCAATATTTACAAGGTTTTTATGTAGGTGAGTAGGTAAGTAATATACATACCTGCTGCTGAGCAGTACATGGCTGCTTTAAAGAGTAAGGTAACAATATGGAAGGACTTCTAATATATATCACAATGTGAAAAAGCAGATTGTAGAAGAGTGCAAATGAGCCCTGTTTATAAAAATATACAGTAACAATTTCCAGAAGAACATCTATGAAACACAGTAATAGTTGCCCTTGAGTATAATATAAGTGGTGAGGGAGTGCGTGCTCATCTAATGTTCTATTTATCAATTTCTTAATTTATTCCCTTAGATCCTGTATTTAATAAAGGACTAACAATACTTCGTAGAAAGACAAAAATGGCCAACAAAATTCAACGTTTGATCTTCCTGGGCATACTAGTGTTGTAAGCATGTGCAGGTCTTCCAGCTAAAGGAATAGATTTTGAGTATCAAAGAGACATCGGGGAAGCTGCTTTGGATCGTTCAGGAGATCACTTGTAGATACTCCAAAATGATACCCCTTCCGAACAGTAATCATCTTGTGATATGACAAGACGGACAACCTTTTTGAAAACTGCAACGATATCAGAGACAATAAATTTCTCCAACATTAATTCATTATTTACTGACTCTAGAAACATACTATAGTCAGCAGTATTTAGTCCATCCACTCGTGCCTCATTTCAGTAGTTCAAGTACAACATTTCTTATTTATTGGATACTTACTGCTCCAGAAAATCCCAGATATGCTGGAAAACCTCTGGACTGAGGAATTCACTCGTCTGTGTGCTCTGGGACATGGTAGATCGGTAATAACTTTCTTTCCAAGAGAAATGAGCTGGGGTTTCTACAAAACTTAAGAAAACAAAAATGAAGCTAAGATTATACTTTCTGTATTTACGATACTTCAATTAAAGCACACTCTTAAAAATAGAATAAAATCATGCAGGTAAATACAGTACACTTTAGAAGTTGCACAATGTTTCTTTAGGAACATTATGGATCCCATTTTACCGTAAATTCAGACTTCCAAGCTAGACAATGAAGTCTTCATCAGAGTTCATCTTTCCTAATTAAAAGATGGTTATTAGGAGCCATAGCGCCACTATCCAACATTTGAGTGCTGCAGATTGAGCACTGCAAAAGGCAAATAAACATTCCTTCACTAAATCTGACGCAAGCCTGACCTATCATTAATTGTTCCAACTAATTTCCTGCCTATTCTGCCACTAGCAGACAAGAAGTAGAAAGAGAAAACACAGCTGAACTAAGAGAACTTAAATTTCAGCCTCAGATTTATCACCCAGCTCCCAAATGCAATCTGCATATCACACTCAAGGACAATAAACGGAAAACTCTGGACCTAAGTTTTTTATTTCTTTAATCACTATTTACCTTAGTGTGTCCCTGTGGGTGGTTCATACATGATGAATTCTGTTAGAATGAGGGAAAGCAAACATCTGAACACTTTGCAAATTAATACTAGTTTTGTTTGTTTCATTTTGTTACTCAGTCCTCAGATTTACATATACATATGTGTGTGTGTATACTTTTAAAAATTTGCTTCCTATACATTGCAAGGGGAATATCAGCTTTCCCAGGTAATGTGTTCTCCAAATTTGAATATTACCTGTACAGATTCACTTTGATGATCAGCAGACTATTTTTCCCCCAGAATGAAATTAACTAAGCTCTTAATCATTACTATTCATATCATAAAGCGATAAATGGTATACTAGGATAGTCAATCTTCCTAAATTTTCAAATGTATATTTTCATCTAGGTGCATAATAGAAGATAACAGTGTTGGATTTACTAATGATTATTTCCTAGCTACCTGCAAGAGCTCAATTATTCGCTGGAATTAAATATATAAAGAAAAACACATGATTTTCCAGGAAGCATCATGGGTGCTAAAAATAAAAAGTAAGACTCTCTCCCCCTTCTGGAAAGTCAGGGTGCAGAAATAAAACAGAGAAGCAGAGCTATAATACAGTAACAGGGTGGACAGTGCTATAAAAACACAAAAATGAAATGTATAACCTCATCTGCAGGACCAACAAAAGACTTCAATGATGAGAATAAATTAGCCAGGGCAGGTAAAAACTAATGGCATGGAGTGGGCACTCTTTGTAACAGCATAAAGTAAGTATTAAAATAGAAAATAGCTTGGTGCATGTGAGAAAATTATAAGCAACTCTATGACAGTATGGCCCAAAAGTTTTGAAAAGAAAATATTGGAAAATGATAGGGGAGAGAAAAATAGAAGCTTATATGCAAATTAAAATTTTTTCAGTTGCTTTAATACTTGCAAAATGTTTTTAAATGAACACTGCATTTGGAAGTAATTGTAGATTCACATACAGTTGTAATGTGTTATAAAGAGGTAGCTCAGATATTCTTTACCTAGATTTTTTTCCATGGCAACATCTTGTATAACTACTATAAAATGCCACAACCAGAATATGCACAGTGATAGGATCTACCAAGCTTTTATTTTTTGTTGTTTTTTGTTTTTGGTACCAGGGATCCAACTTGGGACCTTGCGTTTGTAAGGCAGGTGGCAGCACCAGTGAGCTAAATCCCTGGCCCAGATCTACCAATCTTTTTTTTTTTCATTAAGTTTATTGGTACATTTTAGGTACACAGTACAGTTACATTCATCATGGGGATCTTGTACCTTTACATGATATATCTTGGTTCTTTTATTTTTTCCCCCATTCCCCTGCCCTCCCTTCACCCCCACTACACTTCCCTATTTACAAAGACTTTGTTTCCATTTTTTCCTTTTCTCACACAAGTCTTATTCAGAAGTTTCAGTCAGTTGGCAGGCAGTTGTAGTTTGTGTGTGTGTGTGTGTGTGCGTGTGTGTGTGTTTAATTCTGTACAATTTTACCGCATGTGGAGAGTAGTACATTTATCACTCTAGACCTGAAGAATTTGAAACATGAGATGGATATAGAATACTTTGTATTAATTCAGATGTTAGATGGAAGAAGGGGTACAACATGTCAGTTTATTTGTAAAGTACTTATTTAGGGAATTTCCGCACTAGTACAGCAGGAAAGCAAGAGGAAGAATTGGGTGGAGCTGGAGAAAATGCAGACACGTTGATGGAGACAAGGGTAAATCACATAGCAGTTGTGTTATTCTGAAGGGGAGGTAAAGGAGTCAAGCACATTTCCAGCTTGCTTGAATTGACTGATGATTCTGTGGGTTACATCAGTAAACACACTGGAAAAATCTGGCATGGAAGAGGAGCTGCAGTGATTTGCACCTCAGCAAATACCTGTAGTGAAGGAATTCAGGACTGTGGATGGCTCTGCAGCACACACAGACTTTGGGAGGTTTAGAGCATTTGACAAGGAAACAAAGTTTTTCTAAATGATCAGCAGTACTCTAGATAAGGGATTCAGAAAGATAAGATTTGAGAAATTGGTTTCACATGAATAGGTCACTGGCAACTTGACACTCATACTATCACATACTATCAAATTTCAGTGATTCAGGACTAAAGGGGGAGGCATAGAGGAAGCGTTCTTTTGTTATAGTTGGATTAGAAGAATCTGAATTATGCCTAATGAGGAAAAGCAGAAAGGAAGGATCCAGGAAAAAACAGAAAAAAGCTCAAGAAGGAATTTTTATGGGAAGGAAAAGGAACGGTGTGCAGAGGGAAGAGTCCAGGGCACGAGTGGAGAGGACCGACTGGTGAAACGTCTACGTGTGTAGATGTTTGTCTTGCCCCCATTCAGGGAGGAAAGTGCGGAAAACGGCTCTTTCCATAGTTTCATAGCTAGTTAGCAGTGACATTAAATACAGGCATTTCCTGAGAATCAGAAACAAGGGAGTGGGGGCGGGGCACCTAAAGCAATGGGATAATAAGGAGAGGGAGAAAGGAGAACATCTTCGTGGAAATTAGTGGGATAAATGGAAATCGATGATAATTAGAACCGATGTTTTTCCTTTTCTCTGCCTTAGAGGAAGTGATAGTGTCTTTTCTCCAACTCTCTCTCTCTTTCTCTCTGAGCTGGGGATTGAACCAAAGTCCTTTGAACTAAATCCCCAGGCCTTTTTATTTATTTACTATTTGTTTTCTTTTTATTTATGATTATTATTACTATTATTATTATTATTATTATTATTATTATTATTATTACTATTTTTGGTTTTTTGAGGCAGGGTCTCATTATGTAGCTGAGACTGACCTGGAACTCAGTATGCGTAGCCCAGGCTGGTCTCGAACTCACAGTGATCCTCCTGCCTCAGCCTCCCTAGTGCTGGGATTACAGGTTTGCACCACCACGCCCAGATTGTATTTACTATTTGTTTTCTTTGGAGACAGAGTCTCACTAAATTGTCCAGGAAAGACTAGACCTGTGATCCTTCTGTGTCAGCCTCCCAAAAGAAAGGCACAGACTGTCCAAGCTGGGGGTATCTTTATAGAGTTATCCAATCTTGCTCTCTCATTTCATAGAGAAGCTGAAACCTAAATATCAAGAAATTGTTCTAGATGCATTGTTATGAGATAGTGTTGGCTAATGAAAATAGAATGTTAAATTTTCCAAGTCAGTTGTTAAAGACAGTCATTATGAAACTTAACGCTAAATTATATTAAAATACAAAGATAATAAACTCTCAACACTCATCTCTTCCTAACTCATGATCATCATGCCCTTGAACGCCACTTAAAAGAAAAAGAATATAGTTAAACTGTTCAGATCTCCAAATATTAAAATAATCACTTTGGAGTTGAACGCTGCTTCTCTGTGATAGTGTGTTTCAATAAAAGGTTTTGCATACAAACATTCAATAATACATTAACATTAAATGGAAGGCTGTGTGGAGGATTCCATGATGAACATGAAACGTGCTTTTGAAGTTCTTCATGGTTGATTGGTAAAAATGGAACACCTTTAATATTTGCCTAATGTTTACTTTCTGTCATAAACTCTTCTGTTCTGGCTCCTAATTTCCCCTTGGACCATTACCTTCTCAAAGGCTGAAAGGCAGTGTCAGTCAGCCTTTTCGTTTATGCTCTTGGCTGGTAGGAAAGAATCACCACCGATTATGGCAGGATTTATTTAGAGCCTGCGTTTCGAGTTTATACAAGATGACCCCCAGGCTTAGAAAGGGAAAGGAATTTATTCAAGGTCACTCAGCTAGCAAATAATAAAGTTGCGACTTAAATTTAAGACTGCATTCCTTCAAAAAGGAAAAAATGGAAACAAAGTTGTTCTGTAAAGAGGGAGGGGTAGAGGAGTTGACAGGAGCGTAGGGGAATGGGGAAAAAAATTAGAGCCAAATTATATTATATATAATTTATAGAGCCACGTGTGGTAGCGCACGCCTGTAATCCCAGCACTCAGGAGGCTGAGGCAGCAGGATCGCTGTGAGTTCGAGACCAGCCTGGGCTACACATAGTGAGTTCCAGGTCAGCCTCAACTACATAGTGAGACCCTGTCTCAAAAAACAACAAAAAAGAATATATATAATTTATATATAAATTATATTATATGTTATATAAATTCCCAATGAGCAATGTCATCATATTTTATATCTAAAATGTATCAATAAACTTAATGAAAAAAATATTACATTCCTTCAAAATCAGGCTTTATCAAATTACAGTGATTTTTAATATTCATTTAGGATAAACACTAGGAAATATGAAGTTTGCATTGTTAAGATTACTTTGACTATTAAAAACTATCTGCTGTTTCTATCTGATGGCAATCACAAGATGAGCAGGGAATGGCAAAGGAAAACTGGTGATGACAAGTGGATGCTATTTACAGAATGTCTGGCACATTTGCAGATTCTAAATGGCTCTAGTGGGCATTGACTCAGTGTTGTGC